TGCATAACTGGTCTTGGTGAGATAATACTATGGTTTTACGTTGGGCGGCTAATGGAGTTTCTCGACAAAGGGGGAATTTAAAGGATAGTGACAACCCTTCTCATTAACCATGAAATAAATATATATACATGAAATTGTTATTAAAAGAAATAAATAATAGATTTATCAAATGCTGAAATCGATGATTTGATGGAAAAAGAACCCGTACAAACAAAATTGGTTAAATTGAAAAGCAAGCCCCACAACTTTCCACGGCTTAAAGAAAACATCCTTAAAAATTCACATTGATTCAACTTAAATCAAACTCACATTGACACGAAGACAACAACAACAATGGAGGTAGCGGCAACTGCAGTATAACCAACGCGACAGCTTGTTCTTCGCCGTCCTCCATGAGCAGTTGCTTCCGGTCGTTTAAAAATACTTATGTGGAGATGGAAGAGCATGATTTCGTCATTTAGTACTGCGATGAAGTTTGCAATTTCTTTGTCGATGATTTACTGTGAGCAGTTGCAAGAAAAAAAAGGCCAAAATTCTTGGAGAATTATGGGATTCAATGGTGGAGTGTTTGAAAAAAAAATTAAAATCAATGAGATAATTTGGATATAAAATTATTGTTCAACAATCTATTTAATATTTTAAAAATAGTTTAAGAATAAAATAAAAGATTAATCTTTTTTAATGTTGTTGCGTTATCAATTTAACGAGGAGAAGGTGAAATGGTCATTTTATTATAAATTAATAATATTATTGATCAGTTTATTACTTTTGAAATTTTACTGAAGAAAACTAAAACATACTCAAAGATTAATTGCCATTGGTGTAGTTTACCCTAAATAAAAACGTGTGATGTTGCATGTTATTGTTTTTGTTGTCGTCTTCATTATTTTCATTCATTTAAGTTCTTATTTATTTTCGCCAAGATAAAATCTTGAATAAAAAATACAGAGAAATAGAGAAGATAAAGGAAGAAGATGTAACACCCAAATTTAGGGGACAAATTAAAAGTTTCTAAACTGGTTGTCAGGTTTAGAAAGTACAGGAAATTTAGGGACTTATTCTTGAATTTGCCCATTTTTGTGAGATATGAAAAAATAAACCCCCTTTCCTTTTTGAAATGCAAAAATCCCCAAATTAACAATTCAAATACCTAATTTCTTCCCTGCCCCAATCGAAGCCTCGCCGGGTTCTCATGCCCTCGTCGTCCAGCCGCTGTTGTCGTGCTCCTGCGCCATCATCAGAACCAGCGTTCTCCGACGACCAATTCCCAGTCGTCAACGACCCAAATCAAACGCCGAACGCCGTTAATCGAAGGGAGAAAATTATTTTTGTTGCCTTCACTTTTATTCGCTAATTCCAGTCGTTCCAGCCACCGGTGATTCTCACTGTCCATGCCATGGTTTTCCCCAGTCGATTTCGATCAAAACCAAACCCATCTCATCGCCAAAGGTTACGTCATCGTCGTTCGTCGCCCTGGGTAAGCCGAGTTCTTTTGGTCATTTAATGTTATCCAGTTTTGGTTTGGTTTTGATGGATATTATTGGTCTGAATTGGTCTGAATTGATGCTAGGATGCTTCGAGAGTGAACGGCCGTTCGAAATGGCCCTTGTTTTGGGTCCAAGGAAATTTCCATAATCGATACTCAACACTTCGAGTTAACCAGTTAACTTTGACCAATGACTTTGACCAAAAAGTCAACTTTTCCGAAAAAACCCTATTTTAGGTTTTTCGACATCCTCAGTTCGATTTCAAAGTCTATTTTGCCAAATTCTAACCTGGTAAGCCATTTTTCAATGTTTTATCTTCGGATTCAATTAGTTTATAAATTAAGTTCAGTTTCTAACGTAAATTTGGTTGCTTTTTATCCGAGGCATTATTAGACGTTGAATTAAAGTTTGAGGGTGATCGAATGGAGTTTAAATGGTTGATTGGTATGACACAGAAATCGAGATAATATATTACTACATGTTTTATGTTTTATGGAACATGTTAGTATCAATTTCTGTATGGAGGAGTATAAGTGGTCTCATGTATGTAGTTATGACTTCATAAACTCGGTCAGAATTCAATAAAAAGTCGGTAACCGGATATAACTTTTACGACTCGCTTAAGAAAGTGGAATATCAATTGGAAATAATAATAATAATAATAAGTTTGGTGATTCAAAAATAAATGACTTGACTTCAAGATCCGTAAGTTTTGATTAAGATCTTTTAAGGTTAAATACCAGAAATATTTGGATAAGACATTACCAAAAACAACCCCATGAGATAAAATTATGAAAATGCACTTGTAATGGAAAAAAAGACCAAGACTTCCCCGGACTGTGAAAAATAACTATGAAAGGACATGTTTGGCTAATTATCTGAGAAACTGCAAATGATTGAATTTAAAAAAATTACTAAAATGTCCTCAAGCTTCGTAATAACTATAATAATAACATCTAATAATTAAAGGAACAAAATACCCTGAACGCTAAAGGAACTAGATTGCATTCAAGCCTAATGTATCGATAGTATGCCACTGACAGAATTGAGTGGAATTTTGCTGATACGCTTAAAGTGTAAAAAGTACAATGTAATTAGCGTTGCAAAAATGAAATTCGCAACGATAATATGTAATTCTCAAAAATCGCAATGATAATATGTAAATCACAACGCAAATTCTCCAAATTCGCAGCTCGAATTTCACAACGCTAATTAATTTCACGTTGCGAATTTGACTTTCGCGTTGCGAATTTAATTTTCGCAACACTAATTACCTATGTAGGTAATTCGCAACGCGAATTTCATTTTCGCAACGCTAATTACCTATATAGGTAATTAACTATTCGCGTTGCGATTTTGACTTTCGTGTTGCGAATTTCATTTTCACAACGCTAATTACCTATTTAGGTAATTAACTATTCGTGTTGTGAATTTGACTTTCGCGTTGCGAATTTCATTTTCGCAACTCTAATTTCATTTTCGCAACGCTAATTATCTATATAGGTAATTAACTATTCCCGTTGCGATTTTGACTTTCGCGTTGCGAATTTCATTTTCGCAACGCTAATTACCTATATAGGTAATTAACTATTCGCGTTGTGAATTTGACTTTCGCGTTGCGAATTTCATTTTCGCAACTCTAATTACCTATATAGGTAATTAACTATTTGCATTGCGAATTTGACTTTTGCGTTGCGAATTTGACTTTCGCGTTGCGATTTTGGAACCTGTGTTGCGAAATTGGAGTTCGCGTTGCAAATTTGTTGGTCATTTTCGCAAATACAAAAAAAAGTTGATTAAAATCGTATATTATAAGGCATTTTCGGTCACTGAAGTTATTTTCTCTTTCTATAATTCGATATATCGACACAGATTGTAAATGTCCTGAATATTTGTTTCTCTCTTATCAGCTCAAATCACTTCGTTCATGTCTGAACACACAAGTAACTCAGAAGAAAAGGATTCTGAATAAGTTTTGGTTCAGTTGGACTAACATCCTGTTAATTCAATGCAAAATCCTGAAAACTCCAGAGGGTTTGAGTAATGGAATCACCTTCCGTAAATATGAATCTAGAATTATCTGTATAAAGTTTCCTGAACACCTTCCTGATGCACCTGAATCATAGTGGGATTCTAAATTATCAACTTTAAATATCAGATTAGTTCCATTAGTAATCAATTCTTTTGAATAGGACCTCATTCCTGGAACCCGATCAGATTAAATAAATTTCATATTTTCGGATAACTATTTAGTGCTTCTGAAAAATACTTGGATCCTCTAGTGTGTTCCACATGTACTACATGACGATTTTATATTTTTTGAAATGGGTTTTAACAAATTTATTGATTTATTGGTTTATAAACCATGGCAACATGGTATGTGTTCTTCGATTTCAATTTCCTCCAAAAAATATGAATTGTTCCTAATTTATGGAATCATGGAAATTTATTGAGCTATGAACGATGGTTTCCTGTTTCATTGGTTATTACTTGAACTATTTTATTGGGACATTATCTGGGTAGACTGGAGTATGGAGGTACATCTCTGATCATGCTGGTAAATCCTTACAGACCTAAGGTGATCCTTGGGTAGGATCTCAGGCCCCAAGGCACTCCCTTAGGTTAATTAAGGGACTACTTATGGTGTACATGTGGAGATCAGTTATACGATTTATTTCGTTATCACGATTATGACATATAACTGGATCACTATCCAGATATTACGGGTTACGGTTATAACTTAATTCTATTACATTTTTATATGGGTAGAATTTTGGACTATGGAGGTACAACCCTGATCCAGTTGGTATATCCTTACAGAACTAAGGATACCCTTGGGTATGCCTATAGGCCCCAAGGTATTTCCCTTTGGTTGGATTCCTTTGTTATTTGCTTAGGGTAAGCCCTTATGGATGCAGTTCTGGGGAACTGTATAACAGTGTTTGGTTGGAGGGTTCTACTATGGTTATGAAAATATGTTGTAAATAGTTACTGTTTTAAAAAGATTTTATATATTTTCACTAGTTTTGGTTGGAACACACTAGACATCCTATTTGATCTCCTGAAAACTTTATACTATGAATGTTTCTTATGAACTGATATCTTTAAGGCTTTTACTTGATGAACTACCAGTGGAACCCCAGCTTATTCCAAAAATTTGTATACGTCTGATTCAATAAGGAAATTTTATTGTACTACATTTATCTGCATGTCATGAGGCATCAAATGGTAGTATTGTATTACTGAGCTTCCCAAAGCTCACTCTGTTACTCACCATTTCAGGTTAAAAGAATCGTACATTTGCAGCTATCGACTTCAATAGGGGAGTTCCACTGGCATTGTTTACAGAATACAGTACAGGTGATTAGGGGGAGTGTAGGTTGTAATTTATTTTACATACGAGTATGAAATTTGTTTTACTTTTGAATACTGTAAATTTTACTTTTGTATTTATAAATGATTTCATGATTTTACATGTTTTAATAAAAAAATTAATTTATGAGATTTTCTACGATGGGTCACTCAGGTGGCCCTAATGTGACACCTCGGATCGGATCAAGCCACCCGCATCGGCCTGAGGGGGTTACAGAAGATGCAAGGGTTGAGAAAAACTAGAACTGGAATACCAAAGGTATTGGTGTTGGAGATCCCTCTCAAAGCTTCCCGTTAAATCCTTGACACGTTTCAGGTGTGTTTTAAGTCCTGGTTCTCATATTTTCAAACTCCTCATTTCATTATTGAACATCATCAAAACAACCTAAAATAAAATAATATTAATCTCCTTCTCAAATGTCGTAATGGTGCCACTTGTGATGACTTCAATTATTTCTCTCAATTTCCAACCGAGAAAGGCCAAAACTTTAAAGCAAAACACAATATTCACTTATTTTTTTTCAAGAATTTTGTGTATCTACCTATAGTTGATGGTTCTTGTATTGGAATATTGTGTTTAGCAGAGCCATATAATGGACATAAGGTTGCCCTTTGGAACCCATCTACCAGAGAGTTTAAAGTATGCTTCATGTAACATTCTTACCCGTATTTAATTCCTAAATACATAGAATGTCACAAACTGATTTTATAACATTTAAATTTAAACCATTTATCGATTTAGCAAGTAACATTAATTTCTAATTTTTAATTAACCAAACTAAATCCAATTTCAGATAGCAACTTAGCAATACATAACTAATAGTTGCTTAAAAATTGCCTATATTAAACCTTAATCAATAGATTCATTTTATTTTATTGTTTACCATATTATTGAACTTGTAATTCATTTAACAATTACAACACTAATATAAACTATCCATTTTTTATTTTAACCATTATCCATCATTACCAACATAACTAACTTATAATTTATTACTAGTTATATCTAAACTAGTAGAAACAAACTATTATTATTATATACATTTCAACTAGAAATTTAAACTAAATCAGATTGATGTAATTATTGATATTGTAGATATACCTCTTAGTGAGTTTGATGTTTGATACTCCTTACTCGAATTTTATTCTTTTTACCTACGCTTGAAAATCATTACACACTAAGTATATACTTAGTGAGGTAAAAATAATAATCAGTGCAATACAATGTATATATAAAGAAATAACAATACTCAATCCATCATGATCACTCTACTTGTGTTACATTCATGTTAGACATATTAAAATGAAATAAACAATGTATATAATTTCTTACCAGTATACTAGTCATTTACTACATAAGCTCATAAGCTTAATCATCTCCTTATAATTTATTAACCCATAAACCATAACCCAAACATAAGCCTATGAGAACCCTGGGTACACGAGTTAAATATGCACCGAAGTGTTAATACACATAAGGTCGTGCCTATCATATGCACTAAGTGTCATTTATATACACTATAGTGCTAAATCAAATATACAGCCTGCTGTTGGACTCTATGACATGACAACTATACTATTGAATCTCAATGATCTACTTGGGCATATAGTCTATATTTATTTCATTCATGGCATTGTATATCAACATAATTCAATATTGGGCAATTCACCCGAAATAACCTCATTATATAACATCATAAATAAAATAGTGATAAATGTATTTTATATTAACTTTTGACATATTTAAAATATGTCAAATATATGATTAATGACATAAATATCATGCTAATATAAACAAGGTAGACTCATCGCAAGTCTTCTTAATGATGTATAAAACATCCATGTATCATGTTATGTATGCATTTCACTCACCTTGACACTTTTTATACAAGTCAAAAGGTAAGTCTCGTTAAGCTTTAAGATCGATCTTTTTCATCTCCTTTGTTGCTAGTTAGATCCCAGTTTTGATTGATGTCTATAAATACATCAAACATAAACACAAATAATCAAAAGAACTTGTTAGAATCCATCTAACCCATGCGTATATAGTGTACGAAAAATTCATAATATTCATTCCGATACAACATTGTAATTACAATGTTTCCTACACTTATTTTCACCTTAACTTACTTGAATTCACCTTTAAAATTATAATTTCACCTTAAGCCCTTATTTTTCTCTTTTAGACTTTAAGGACTAATCATAAAAATTTCACATTTCAAGTCTAAATCCAATAATTTAATCATCAAATTAATCCTTAAAAGATAACAAATATCATAAATAAGTCACTTGAATTTCCTATAAATTTTCCCTTAAGAAATCCATATGGCCTAATATAATCCATCACTTTCCAAAAGTGTTTTCAAGATTAAAAAAAAAAAAATCTAAACATGTATTGTGATTTTCTACCATAGCCTTCATCTAATTCAAGCTTTTAAAATAATTCTCAAATTTTTCTTAAAGTATCGTTTTGGTTACTATTAGGATTCAACCATTCTTCCTCATTTCAATCTTGAATAAACATGCTAAGGTATAAAACATAATAATTTCATCATAAATAACATAAAAATTGATTCAAAACATCAACTCCTTAACTTTTCATCTTTTCCAAATGGATCCCTAAAGGAAAACTAATGGATTTTTCATTATTTGGAACATAAAATCAGCATCATAACACCTATATCATCATTTTCAAGCCTTGAAACCTCAAATTTCATCATCCCTTCATCCACCCTTTTCATAAATTTAGGGTTATAAGCATGAACAATGAAAAAATGATACCAAATAAAAGAAATTTCAATGGAGAACAAAATTGGATTTCATGGCTTAACCTTAAATCTAATTTAAAATGCTTAAAAATCAATTTTAAAACTTACCTTGCTTTTGCTGTAACTCACGGCAGCAGCAAACAAATTCAAGAAAGTTCTTGGATTTTTTAATTTTAGTCCTTTTTAGATTTTTATAACCTATTTGAATTTAAAATTAATTTTAGTCCAACATTACTTTTATGAACTTAAAATCCAATGATCTTAATTATGCAACATATCAAATTTATCATCTAAGGGCTGAAATTAATCCATGAAGTTAGTAGTTTACAACTTTTCCCTTTTAAAGTTCCAAAATTACAATCTTGTCATTTTTAATCTAATGGCTAATATTTAATATGGAAATCAACTTAAATCCAATGCTCCACATTAAATCTTATAAATTTAAAGCATGGAAAAAAAACATTTTTCGCTTGCTTGATCATCTAGCAAATTTCTTGAATTTTCAAGTCGATCCGATTATCCGAATTTTTCTCGAACTTTCACACTTTGTAGCTTTTAACACAAACTCTGTATGAAAAATCTGAAACCCACGAAAACATCAATCTTTGGGGTAAACTATTATTTACGGGACCAGGTTATACAACTTTTTAAAATTACAGTTTGGTATCTAAACTTTCCAAATTTTATACTTTAGATACCAAACTTTCAATTTATTCATTTTGGTTACTATCCAAATTTTTTGGGGTATTAACACTTCCTCAATCCACAGTTCAGCGCCCTCCTAAACTAGATTACACTAGTTTTTATTGCCTTGGTTTTGAGTATGATTCTCAAAATGATGACCTCAAAGTTGTAAGATTGGTTGCTAATTATCACGGCATGAGATATTTTAGTCATCTGATCGATCAAGTTGATTTATACCCATTCAAAAGCGATTCATGAAAGGAAATTACATTTCTTGGGGTTCTTGCTTATAGTTCTTTTTTGTTTAATAGTTATGTTTATGGGTTTTATTATTGGCAGACACTTTGGGTTCTGATCACCTTGTTCATTCCTTTGATATGGCTAGTGAAAAGTTTTCAACTTTACCACTGCCTGAATTTGGTGGAACTTTAGAACAATATTGTTTCCAAATTTTGGACTTCAATGGATTGCTTGGTGCTATTTACCACTGTCTGAATTTGGTGGAACTTTAGAACAATATTGTTTCCAAATTTTGGACTTCAATAGATTGCTTGGTGCTATTTTTTTACCCGAGCGAAGGAACTGATAAGTCTTTTGATTTATGGGTTATGAATGGTTCATGGGCTAAACAATTCAGTTTTGAATATGTTCCTGGATTTTATAGGCGTTTGGGGGTTTTGGAAAAATGGCGAATTGCTTTTTATGATAGGTCTTGATCAAAGCTCTAGAAATTTTATAACGTTCTACTTTGGGTAAGAACAAACCACAGAAAATTTGGTTGAAATTTTTCTCCCTTTCTTCTTCACTTCCAGTAGTTTAAATAACATTGACAAATAACAACTTTTCCTAGTTATCGTATCACGTCTCTAAAAAATAGGATAATGAAAACAAACAAATGAAATAATAACTAATAATAATAACAGAAAATTAAAACACGTTATATTATTCAGCAGCTAGTGGACCCACGATTGCACTCCTTCCTTGATGACTCCTACTTGGGTATTTCATGATGGCTTGTTAATCCAAATACTTGGGATTCAGCTTAGACACTCTTGTGGATTTTCTTAACCTATCATGTTTCTTGAGAGCTCTGATCATGAACTGATGTTGTTTGACCTCTCCACACGAGAGCTTAAAAATCTCGGTATCCATTCCTATCGGGAAGCAATGCAGATTACTGTTTATGTAGAGAGCTTGGTTCCGATAAATTGAAGACAACAGCACGAGGAATGTATAATACGTCGGCCAGCTGGAGGTGCAATCAAATTGGTATTGAACACTACGATGGATGGGGAGCTACAACAAAAACGAAAAGATGTAATGGGATTTGGTCTCTTGATATGCGCTTTATCTAAACTATATTGTCTTGTGATGTTCTAAAATAATGTTGACTTGTTTAGGTTTCTGTTTGCTTTTTGTTCTTTTAGTGGAAGCAAGTCATACGGATTTGCTTAGTTGTTAACTCTTATCTGCAGTTTTATTGACCTACATATTATGATTTGCAGGTGCATATTAATTTATTTATTAATAATATGGTACGTTGTAAAAATATTCCTTAAAATTTTATCTATTTTATGTAAATATATATGAAAGCATGCAATAGTTAGGTATATAATGAGGAGGGCGGGTGGCGGCAATCGTTCTCCTGAAATTTTCAAATTCTCTTATATTTTAGATTTTTTATGTATATTTTTTATTGATAATTTTTTTGTCGCCCTGAAATTTTATAAGTTCGTTTTCCTCTAAAATTTTATAAATTCACTCTCATAGTATAAAATTTGACGTCCGTCTCTAAGTATGTAGCATAAGATGTTAGAATTTGAGAATAAGTAGAGATTGTAAAGAAATTACCCTATCAAATTTTAATGAAACTTTCTGTCTTTTGATATGGGTAGACATTTAACACTCAAACATATTGCTAGACAAGTAGTAGGACATGATTGAAATGAAACTGATAATCTAAGGACTTGATTAAAATATTTTACAATTTAGGGTTCAATTTAAAATTTAAATATAATTTTGAGGTGTTCGGTATAATTAGCCCTTAATAGTTGGGTTTGAATATTGTTATACATGTCATAATATAATTGAGTATTCATTTTTTTAACACAATCCTTAATTTGCTTTGATTAATTCAATTATGAGACTTATTCCAAGAAATAGTTATACGGTTCTACAAGTTATAAGTAAAGTTCAAAACCTTGCCAAAGCTTTACCTGAGATTGCTTGCAACACAAATAACAATAATGGATCAATGTAATTGTGGGAGATATGTTTATGTTATGCTAGACCAACGCCTCCGAATCAGGTTCAGATGATTCAAAATTGTCCACATTGCCAGTGAAAAATGGTGCTATTATATGCCCCTTCCGAACCATGAACACTAGTGTAATTTTTCTTAAATAGTCCTCTCCCCTAATAAAAACTTCGAATAATGATTGTCGTAAACCTTCCAAGGCTTGAACTCGTCTCTGTATATTTTCTTGTTCGATCATTATGATATCTAAAATAAATTACTCATATCGTATTTATTTTCATTATATACGGGCCTCATCTTTCGTCTAAACATTGAATGTGATTGACTTGTTGCTGTGCAATGTGGTTCCACTGGTGTTTGTGGTTTGAAGTGGATCTTTGACTCTAGTGTTTTCTTAGCTAATTTTCTTTA